CAGTGCAAAACCAGGGAATCACCTTAAAGCAACGCAGGGATAATTTCCCCCCAAAAAATAAACTTATAAATCTTAGCCTTTTTATTTTATTTAGAAGCCGGACGATTTTCAGAAATTTGAAGGAAAATATGTCAAAAATAATTGGAATTGACGGGTTTGGCCAACAGCCAACACTGGCAATATTTTTGCCGTCAGTTGTCGAGAGCCAAAGGTCTCACGCAAAATTCCGTTATCGTGCATGAGATAAATAAGGAATTGTTTCAATGAGGGGAATGACATGCGATGAGTGGCAACATATAAAGTATATTCCGGCAGTTCGATAATTTCATTGGAACTAATTGATGTTAGTCTATTAATCTTAACATTGAATGACGCATAATTTCATTACAGATGTTCGGACAGGAGGTGATTTCTTAAAATCTTATTGAGCAAAATGATCTCGAGAGAAGGAAATCAGGACCGTTCCACCACATCTGATTGGCAAAAGGTTTGGAAGCCATTGATCCACGAGAGCAAATGTCAGCTGGATTGGATTCTGTAGAACAGTATTTCCACTACGTGGAAATAGACGACGGATCTCCACCACCCTGTTCTGGACAAATGTCTTAAATTCCTTGTTCACTCCCCAAATCCACCTCAGAGTAATTTGATAGTCCAACCAGCAAAGTACAAAATCCATGTTCAATGTTCCTTCAAAAGCTGTCAAGACAGTACTGATCAGTCGGGATAAAATAAGAGCACTCATAAGTTACCAACGAGGCATGGGGCAACTCGAGGTTTGGACGGGACAAGTTGGGTGAGGACAGTTCCAGTGTTAGTTTAACACGCAAATAAACACCTCCTCCATAGGCCTTCTCAGAAGCATTTGCGAACCCGTGGAGTTGAACGCCTCGTAAATCGGATAATGACAACCCACGGAAATAATGCCTCTTCAGCTCTACCACTCCAACCTTCCTAGTACCGTGAACGATTTTCAACCCCTGTTTATGAAGAAATGAATCAACACCTGGGGTCATCCCAGTCAACCTTGGATTTGCAAATGGCTTGGAAGATAATCTTTGATAGAATGATGACAGGATCAAGACGACCCCGGGGAAGGTACAACTCACTTGTAGCGCAAGGGATCGCTCTCTCAGGGTTCGTACGCTTTTTATCTCTTCAAATTCCATGACTTTCCATGACTTTTCTCATGACTATTTCCTGTTTTCAATGACTTCAGGTATAGCTGTCTTTTTCAAAAACTTTCAAAACTATCCTTACTTTATGGCAGTTTTTGACCTGATTCATAGTACGACAGATTACACATTGATATCCACCAAAACGTGAGCCACTTGAACTGTTTAATTACCTCTCTCTACCTTACCTTGTCCTTGTTTTGAGGTCTGCAGTAAATAATCTAACATACACAACTTCAATTTCTATGACTTTCCATGATCAACAATTAATTTCCATGACTTTCAAGGTCTGGAAAATGAAACTCTTAAATTTCATGACTTTCAGGTTTTCCATGACCTGTCAAAACCCTGTCTCTTTGTGAATGTACCACTGTTAATGGCCTCCAGTGAGAGACCAGATCCGAAAACAACACATCTTTTTGACTGTCCCATCCTGCCCCCCAGAACCTTCAGTTTTGATGTGCTAGGATTCCTTGCTGACTTGAAGAGCGAATTTGAAAATGTTTGACCTTGAATCTTAGGGTCTTCAAGTGCCTTGCCTTGTATTTGATACGCTTGGGGAGACTGTCTTTTATTTTCTTCAATTCGTTCTTGTTAGACTGCAATATTTTTTAGAATTATTGCTTAAAGTAAATTAGAAGTATCTTTTCAGGAGCTTTGTTTTTAGCCTTGGCTAAAATCTATTTCTTACATGTAATTGTATTAATGGGATTTGCCAGTACTTTACAGCTCATAACCTTACCATCGTCATAGCTTGGGCCCATCGCTTCTGGAACATCAGCCTGATGATCAGATCCAATTTGGATTTCCTGTTTAAAAGGAATATTGAGAACAAATGAGAACAGCTGTTATTAACCAGAAGGGAGACTTTCCCCAACTATGAGAAGTTTGAGTAGAAAAACAGCTCCCTGACATCCCTGTCATATCAGTCTACTTCACCTTGTTATATAACTTATTCATATCTTCTGATCCAGTGGCGCTGTGCAAAAAGTGTGCAATGCCAAACAATTACACTTTGATACTAATTAACAATTATTCCTCGAGCCTGAATGGGCTCTTAGTCAATAGCCCAGGAGGCCGAAGGCCGAATGGACTATTGACTCAAAGGCCATGAGGGCGAGAAAAAATAATTGTTTTAAAAAAATCCAACTAGTTGGTCAAAAATATCGCGACAAAACAACTTTAGCTAGCAAAACGCGATTCAGCCGCCATTGTTTTGGTTTTCAAAGCTGGCGCTTTTCGCTATTTGTGGGCTATAACATATAGCCTAGTAGTAGCTCAACCAATCAGAGCACAGCATTGATAATAGACCACTAGTTGGATTTTACTAATAAACGTTATTATTACATAGCAGTCCTTTTTTGTCACATAACGAATTCTTCTCAAACTCCCATAATTTCCCATTGTTTCCAAACTGCAATATCAGAAGGCCTGACATTAGCTTGAGAATGTAGCAATTTTTTGCTCCAATGCAAGTTGCCTACTACATTGTATTGTGCCATTCCAACCATTCAAGGTGACAGGAATAATGAAATAAAGTATACCTTTTGAGCCTGAGAATGCACATTAAGGGGCATTATTTTTGCTATTTTTGTAGCCTATCACGGTTACTTCAAATTCAAAAAAGGTTAAAAGCTCAATCAACCTTGAACGAATTTACTTTCAAGCTATAACTACATACCACACTGCTTGTCATAAATTAAAAGTCTGACATAAATTATGACGGTCTGCTTATAGCATGTTATGACTTCCATACTATTACTAATTAAGCAGGAAAACCTCTTTACAGAGAAAACATGTGCATTCATTACCTTCTTCCAGTCTTCAGGGGAGTAATCCTCATCATCTGATGATGATGAACTCTCGCCCAAATTAAAATAACTGTAAGCAGCAGCCACTGGTAAAGAAAACAAAATTATGCAAAGAATATGGAATAACTTTACTCCAAAATGTTTAGTCTGGCAGCACAGAGTAACTAAGGAGCATTGCCGCAAAAACCAGACTGCTGACTAGCACATGATTTTGCTCTGTATCTGAAACAACAATAAGTTCGGCAACAATCGTTAATGACCATAATTGATAAGAGAAACAAGGAAATTACAGACCAAAGTTCTCCAAAAAAGTACTGATGAAAAATGACAAATTTTGTGAAAAAATTAATAATAAGCATGTCATGAGTGAGGGACAAAGAAATCAACTTGAATCCTTGTCAGAATTCGAACTCCTGACCTCCCAAACACTGGGTATATACTCTGTCAACTGAGCTAGGGAGAGACTCACAGCCATTTAGAAGGTTCATAATGAACCAAGTATACATGTTCGAGTCTCTCCTTAGCTCAGTGGACAGAGCACACACCCAGTGTTCAGGAGGTCATCTGTTGGGGAGACAAGTTATTTTCTTTGTCCCACACTCATGACATGCAAATGAATGTGAAAGGTGCGGCACCTTTCACATTCATTTGCCAAGGTTGAAACTGACCGTATCAATTCTTTATTTTTTGACACATTTTCTTTTTAGTTTATGTGAACACAATAGGGAATTCAACAGGCTTAAAATTTTCAACAAAAGTAATTTCGTCTAGGAGCTACCTGGGGTGAAATCAGTGAAGTTTTTAAACACGAAGTATATCAAGTCCACAGATGTTGATGCATAATGGTAAAAAATGTGCAGACAACAAAAGAATTGGACACGTTTGTAGTAAATTAATTCTTTGCAAATTAATAAGGGTCATTCACTACCGAAAAAATTGCTTACAAAATGATATGATGGTACAAGTCATGTTACATGTCTGTAAGGAAGAGACTTCATGCAAGATCTGCTGAGGGGTGGTAATAATAATTATTTGTATCAGGTATTGCTATCAAATCCTAGATTTTATGGGCAAAGCCACCCTTGATATATTCAGACAGCTTGATAATTGGGGAATGGATTTGAAAGGAGCCATCAAAATGCTAAAGAACAAGTTCAAAGAATTGCAAAACTGCCTGTGCAATTTACTGGTCAGATACCAAGAAGAGTCTATTTCAAGAAATTGATCACACTGAACAGAAGTAAAGTGCATGGTCCTGCTGGTATTCTGGTGTAGGTATTTAAAGAAAACGCAGCAGTACTGGCAATGCCAATTTTAGACTTTCTCAATTCACCTTTTCATGAGGGTTGTCTCTCACCTTAGTGGAAAGAAACAGATGAGTCAGTGCTCAAGCAAAACCTTTGCAAGGCATCAACATCACAAACATTACCATTTCCCTGACATCCATCCTATCAAAGACTGTAGAGGAGTGAGTTGTTGGCACGTAGGTTCAGAAAGCTCTTCTCAAAAACATCAACCAACAGGAGTTTGGAATGTTACCAGATCCAGTACCATGGAAGCACTTATTGGTAACACTCACTCTTGGGCAAAGTCAACAGATGGTGATGGATCAACTGCAGGAGTTGTGCTCTTTGACTGTAAGAAAGCATTCAATCCTACTGACCATTACATTCTGATGCAAAAGCTCAAAGGCCTAGTGTCAAGGAGTTGAAAAACTTAAAGGCATTCAGCTTGAATGTAGATCCTGATTTTAAGCTGCCTGCACAGCCACCATGCTGAAAACCATTCAGCACACACCAACAGCTTATAAATCAAGCAATCATTGAAAAAGTCAGTGAGCCAATGTGATGAGTGTACCCCCAATAAAAGTCACAGTCAAATATGCTAGATCATAGACTTGTGTATGCCAAATCAGGCAATACAACACAGACACAAACAGCTCCTTACGACTGACGACATGGTCAATGAGCTAAATGGATCAATACTATTCTCCCACCAGGATAGATATTCTATTGAGCAACATGAAAGTTCAGTAAAGTTTGTGAGGTTACTACAGCTTCATTTTTTGAAAAGATGAAGTATTCCCAGACATATGTAAGCATTAAATCTGGTGGATGCTGTGAAAATGAAGCAAAAGTTAAATCATTCCTCTGTATCATCAGATATACATCACAATTCATAGAAGCTCGAAAGTATTAGACAGCAGCTGGCAAATGTAATGAGCTACTGCCCAGAAAATTTGAGTGGAAGCAAGAAAGCTCCAATGCATTTTGAGGAAATCAAGATCCAGCTAAGTTAAGACATCATCTACGCATATTTTGATCCCCAGATGGAACACAAGCCCTACATTGATGTGTGCCCTGTGGGACTGGGCAAAAGTCTGTTGCAGAGGAGACCTGAAGGACATATAAGTTAGAGAATGATGGTGCAGTACACATATCTTAATCAAGGCCACACAGACCCTGAGAAAATAGTACAGTGAGATTGAACCAGAGGCCTTATAGGTTTGGGTATTTTTGTTCTCATAGTTGTTCACCTGTTCCTGTATGGAAGAACCTTTAGGAGCAAGACCAATCACAAACCTTTGGAAAGTGTACAACTAAGGAGGTACCACACCAAGTAAATTATTATGTTGTGACACACAAGACACCCAAACCTATCACCAAATAACCAAACTTGTTTAAAAAATTAAATAAAAGAACCAGCTTCAATCACAACATACAGACTTCACAGTCCAATCTCTTGTTAAGGGACCCCCCTTTTCTGTCTTTTCTGATGTGAAAGGATGGTTGAGTAAAGACAAACCCTTTCAGATTTTGGATTGCCTGTTACATAATATTTTCAATTTTTTATGACAAAATGTTGCAAATATGGGGGAGATTTTAGTCGCATGGTTATAAAACCAAAGATCAAAATATAATAGTTGTACATAATTTAATCTGCACTGGGCATTGACAACTCAAATGTTACATGTATGCTTTGCCAGAGACCATTAAATCCACTTTTGTTCATGATAATAGTGTCTTAAGGCACTGCATATCATATGTTGCGGTTCAGTTTTTATCTTTGGTCGTGTTTTCAATTTTCTTTGTCTTTAGCTATGATAATGCATATTTATTACTGTGTGACTACTGTAACGAGGGCCCTAAGACAAATTTGAGCAATAGGATTACAGTAAAGTAACAATACATTCCAGGAAAGTTAGTAATGGGCCAATCAACAGCTCAAGGCTGCTGCCTAATGGGTGCCCGGGCACTAGAGTGACCTACAATTTATCCTCAGGCAACCAAAATTTCAAAAAGGGAGCCCGAACAGGTGCCAAAAACTTATGATTCTCAGGCTAACTTCCAGTGAACAAAGAACAAAATTCCCTGCTCATTCTGCGCTTTGAAACGACAACGGAAAACGTTTGATTGTCGGCCATAGGCAATAAAAAAAATTCTGCCGATAGAAGGAAGGTAAACACACAGCACCATATCTTGAAATTCTCTTCTGTGACTTCAGCTGCAGAGCAGTTGGAATTTCTCATCTGAAAATGGCGTTGAATGAATTTAATAGTCTTCGAAAAAACTTTGATAATAAAATCACGACTTTTCCTTCAGTGTTGGAAACACTAGGTCGCTACTGCATGAAGTAAAAACTGATAAAAATTTGCAATCCGTGGAAAAGCCAGCTGGTGTCAAATTACATGTGACATCAGTGGTTTCAGTATGCTATTAACTTTTGCAAGTTTGTAGCATTTTCTATCTTGCTACATTGTAGGAACACAAACGGTACACTTGGAGGTTTCTTTTATCATTATTTGGTGTTATCTATACCTCCCTATTTTTTGCTGTACATTTGAGGTAACTTTTGAAAAACTGGCAAAAACATTTCAGTTTTTGAAAGTGGCTATTCAAGATCATATTTCAATCTCTTTTTAATTTACGCAGTCGAGTACAACGCACATAAATACAAACCTTCACAAATATATAAACAGTTCAAAGTTGATAGTTCAAAAGATAGACTTGATACAAAAATACTGAGTTAATTTTCCAAACTTCCAGATAAAAGCCTTTTGTTGGTCCTTTTTTTGTTGCCTAACAACTTAACATGAGAGTGCTGTTGGTCGGTGCTTTCGCTGTATGTGTGAGTGGTCATTGTTATGTTTCTTGAGAAATAAATTGTTTCTCGAAATCCTTTTGAGTGGCAAATATAAAAAATGTTGGTTTCTCGAAACTCAAGACTCCACATTCCCGTTTCGAAACTCTATTTGTTTAAGGCTCAAGTATTGTTCTGGTTTTGTCTCGTCACACAACACTCCTCACGCCTTCCCAACTTATCCAGGAAGATCGAATGGCCTCTTCCCACAGGGTGTAAATTGCTGAATAACAAGTTCTTCAAAGATAGATCTTTCCAGTGATACCTCCCTTTGGATATTCTGACCAATCCTGTCAGAGTTACACTCACGAAAAAGGGAAAGGGAAAAATCCACTGGGAATTTCACTGTTTACATTCTACTCTTTGAAGATTAAATTTGCCGCTTTCCTAAAAAGTTAGCCAGCCACAATTTCATGCAAAAGAAGGACGATAAAGTGGGCACACAAAACTGCTAATAAACAAGAAAGGCAAAGGAAAAAAGAAGAGTGAGAGATTTGCCCATGTGTGAAAAACAAATAAGCTGTTTAATTATGTCAGATTGGTAAAAAAATATGCCTTGTTTCTTGCAAAACTCATTTTTAGCCATTTCTATGCTAATTAGCCAAAAACCAGTCCAAAGAAGAGGAATTGGTGAAAAATGCAGTTTTTTCGCTACTCGCCGCCAATCACCAAAGGGTTAATAAAGTTACTGATCTTTTTTAATTGGGCTCCTAGAAATGTGGCTTGGGCTGCTAATTTTTTGTTTTAGGAGCCTGAAGGTCTGCCAAAAAATTTTCTTAGGCAGCGGCCTTGACAGCTTATAAAAACAATAAGTTAATTGAAGCACAAAAGATAAATTATGATAGCAAACATTTACAAGAAAGCAAAATGTTTCACAAGACAATGTTTTCTTATCCGAAACCTTACATCTTACACCCAGAGAGATTGTTTGACACAAGCTAGTATTTTGTAATCTACTGGCACTTTCTTTGCTACCATTGCTGCACTTTGAAATAACATGCAACCTCAACACAAAAATATGACTAACGCTTACGGACCTCTTAGGAAACACAAGCTTTCTTCAGCAAGTTCAAAAGGTCACATCTAGCCTGTAGGTTGTAATTGGTTGATTTTGATCCATGTTGTTTTCATTTTATGGTAGTTATGACTGACAACTAACTTTCTTCAAATGTATTGTTATTTTGCCGTAATTCGCAGGGTCAACTCAATGGCCTCGGTTACAGAATTTGCACTGTAATAAAAGGAAATATAACAATATTGAACAACAGATAAAATGGTTAACACAACATTAACACACAAGTAAAAACTTACACTTACCTTTATATTCATATAACATTCTATTTTTTCAATTTAAGCAGAGAAACTACAATATTACAAAAAAGAAGTTTGAGAGAAAGAGCAGCACTCACATCCTCTGGTTATTCTTTGGTTCTCAGGAAAGAAGTTGTTGTCTTTACTTGGTCTGGGTGAAGGAGGAGACTGTGGAGACCTTGGTGATGGTACTGATAATGGAGAGTCTGGAGACGGTGCAGCAGGTGAATCTGTGTTCTCTGGTAAAAGGTTTTCTTCAATTAAAGGATTTCCTGGATGAGGCAAATCAACCTCACCGGCATCAATTAGAGGTGGAAGTGGATCAGGCTTGATTTCATCTAATGGAACATCACCTTCAGGGGTATCTTTATCTGTGTATCCATACAAAGCTAACAAGTCTTCTAAAGGCATATCCCTCTCCTAGAACAGTAATAAAAGAGAAAAGAAAACATAAGGAACAAAACAACAACAACAACAACAATTGAATGTCAATTGTTATTCTTATCTTATTTCATGACATCAGATGATTGTATCTGATACAACAGATATTTTTTGGTTCAAATTTAGCATTCATTCAAATCACATTTTGCTTTATTTTTAGATATACAGTAATGCTGAAAACATAGGGTGGTCTGCCTGTGGTCATATACAGGGTGTTTCAAAAGTTCGTTCCGATTGCAAATTGTCTTTTGCGCAAAGCTTTTAATGCTTCTTTAGGTAAATGTAAGCTGATCCAGGTAAGAAATTTATCTAAATAACCGTTCAAAGCAATTTCAAACTAAAATTTGAAGAAATTATATATTTTTTAAATTTTTCCCCAACAGTACACGTTCGCGAGGTTTTCCCGCCATACTTATCATACATATCGTTTTCTTTTATTTTTTCTACTTCTTCATGAAAATGAAGGCCTACACTGTTTGTGCTAGAGCTCAGGCATCTATTTTCATGGTCTTCTGGCCATTCAGTCAAAAACAAATTGCCAAATTGTTGTAGAAATCTAAACGATGACCGAACAAGTGGTCAAAAGTAAAGACCTTACAAACCAAGGTAAGGATGGCTGTTTTTTACAAACTGTGTGAGAAATATTATCAAAAAAGCTGTAAGTACATGCATAATAATTCCACAAAACAGAAAGGTTAAAAATTTTCAACTGCACATCGAGCACAACTGTATGGGAATAAGTTACCAAAAAAAGTTGGAAAGCCTTGAAGAGAAAAAGGCAGTGCACACTTCATGAAAACATAGTGTCAGAAGGATTTGCCAACTTTATACCAACATAGAAGTAGAATTATTGGGAGTTTTGAAAAAAAAGGGGGGAGGGTTGAAAAATTAGGGATCAAATTATGGTGTCTGGGAAATGACTTTTGGGTGAAAAAACAGGGAGTTTCACATATTCACAAAACCATAGAGCTAGACAAAAGCGCTGTTCAATAGCCCAGGGATAGTGAAGAGACCTGCTGGGCTAGTGTCTTTTTATCAACAAGCAAGCAATATTTGTTGTCTTTTTCTCACTATTAAGTTAAGAAACAAAAAAGAATTGCGTAAAAAACAGTTCCCTTGTGAAAATAAATGTTAATAATACTAACTAAAAATTATGTGAGAAAATATCAAAGATGAACAAAAGAAATTGAATCGACTTATGTATTTCAGTAAATATAAGCAATGCTAGTGGTTGTAATATATTGCGCTCTCACTCTCCTACTTTTAGGTCTTTAAAACCGCTGTTTGTTTACATTATACCAAGTTAAAAAAAAAAAAAACAGGATCTTTCTTGTTGTTTCTAACCATTTTCTTGATTACACATACTAATTGCTCCTTTGGAAGTAGAGATACTAAAATAATGGGAAAGTCTAAAAACCTGGAACACATACAGTGTACTTAATTGTCTACCTAAACACGGATCTTGTTTCTGGACTACTGCTGTCTCAGTGTAAGGATGTTTTCGATAATGTGTTTTTTTCTTACAATGCTCTGGACTCCACTATTAATAAAACACTCATTGTTTCGCTGTCAAATCAGAAAGGCTAGAATAAAGCTGACAAGGTCCCTTTGCTCTTATTAGCCAGGAGAACTGCCAAAAATTGCTTCATTTCACTGTATTTTAGAGGGAGATTTGACTTTAAAATTAGATTCCAGTCCTGAGAACAATGACTGTGTCACAGCTTCTAACCTCTGCAGCGGTGTAGTGTCAGATTTTGAAGGTGTTCACATGAGAAGAAAAGTTACAGTACCTTTGGGGCTCCAAACTAGGGGACTTGGGGGCATGTTCCCCCAGACCATTTTTAAATTTAGGGTCATCGAGATGGCTTTTCCAATGTTTTTTCTGCATGACATTTTCAGTAAATAAATATGAAGGAAAATGCAGTAGTTAGTTGTATATTTGACTCATTTCATGTTATTGGTACAGCTTGACAAAGCTTTGAACTGCACCAGCATGTCATGAAACCTTCTTGGGTGACCCTGCATCATCTACCTTGATTGATCCCTTCAAATTGCTGCAAATCATCTGGCAGTGTCTGCAACCATACCAGCTTTTGATCTAATTCCTAGCTCCACAGACAGTGATCACCACGCAGCATTTGCATGTGTTAATGTGCACTGTGGATATGGATAGCCTCACCTGAACTGCAGGTTGAGAGGGGACAGGCCAAAGGTTGAAGTTCACTCAAGAATGAGTGAACCAGCATGAAAATCCTTGCTAATGGAAAAGACAAATTAAACCAGCTATCCTCATTAAAAATCTCTCCTCAAAGCAACAAATTTTGGATGACAAAAAAGGGAGAGGTTGACAAACTTGTGGTTGATGTTGTGCTCATTTTACCCCCCTCTCTCCACCAATGCTTTGCATTAAGGGTACATGTATTTAAAGCTTGTTAAAGCTAAACAGAAATGAGAATAGATGAACAAGAATGTGATGTCACCAGGGATTAAACTTGGGACCACATGCTCTGAAGGCCACACACTAACCAACCATGCCATCTTTGCTCCTTGATCATTTATCAAGTGCTACATCCTAGTTCCAAGCCCATCCATACAGATCCAGATAAACACTACTTAACCAAGACAACTGAATGGACCCTGGGTTTAATACCTGACAAGGTTACAGATCTTTTCAGTTTGATTGAGTTGCTGCCTAAACTTGTCAGCTGTCCACCCAGGCTTTGTACATTATCTCGCAACAAAGTGCTTAAAGTGATAAGTCAACTCTGATTGGACTGCTTCACAGGTGTTGCTCAGACCGTGACTACAGTGATTCTGATAAAAATCACATGTATGTATTTGATTTATAGGTGTTGACAGTTTCATCGTCCATTCTTGAAAATTTACATGCTTCCTTTATTAAAAACTGCTCAAGTCATAAATTTGATCCATATATGGATGCAAAGAAACAATTCATCTGTTACTGACAACACATCATCAAGACATCACGACTTATTATTTTAGCCAAGGGATAACATAGACATAAGCAAAAAAATGGTACAGAAAAAATCTGAATAGTATTCTTTATGAGCTTTTAATTCTAAATATCTGGTAAACCAATGACATAATATTATGTTTGATCTTCAGATTGACAAAATCATGGTACTTCACACAAAAATCAAGTTACTTTATGCCATTTCCCACAAAAGAAACAAGGTAGTTTTAACTTGTAATGTAGTGAGCGGGAGTTCACTACATTACCTCATTCAATCCTGTATCTCAAGTCCTCTTCATAGTGAACTCTCTTAAGAAAAAATATTCTGAGCTCAACTGATCACCTAGTATATCAAAATAAAGTTTATATAAAGATAATTTTTAAAAAATTAACGAAAACTTTATTAGAAATCTAATGTACATTTTACTAACAACATAATTTTTTCTGATTCTTGTGGCTCACTGCTTTGATTCTGTACTCTTAAGTATACAAGTCAAATGACTGTGTTACCAGCATGCAAAGAAAGTCGTGTCTGATAAGCTTATATTACGATTGCAAGTACGAACTTAAAATGAAAATAAAATGACAAGTTGTTTAGTTGGACTACCTTTCTTTCTTTGCCCTGCATCTAATTTTTCCAAGTCCTATCAACATTTTATTGTTTTAAATGGAAAAGGATTAAACCAACCCGTGAGATGCTATTTTGATATTTCTCACGTGACTCAAGTCTTACACATAGCACTTTGCTGTCTACTTTCATCGCTGTCACTTCCTTGGCAGCTTTGGAATACTAACTCAACTGGAAAAGACCGGTAAAATGTGGAGATTTATCTCTGATTGTGAGCTGCCTCCAATGAAAAAAAAAACACAACATAAGGAAGATGGGCAGGAATCAAACAGAAATTACAAAAAAAACAAAAGATCACAAACATTTCAAAACAGCTGGACGAAAGGGATTCCATGAAGACTACGCACATTCCTTTTTCCTTCAAATATACTGGAAATCCAGGGCCACTTAATATTGACCTGGGTGATTAAGAATTCAAGGAAACTGGCCTGGCTGGCCACCAAGCACTGGAGTTAAGTTCCAGCTCTGCTTATACATTTCCTGGAATAGAATGAATGTGAATAGAATCACAACATCATAAGTAGGTTGAGTATGATCGTCTGGGTGAATGTAATCCTGAACAGGACTGTTGTTGACAGTGACTGATGTTTCAACAACCTGTATGATACAGCTGTATTCATCTTCAGAGTCAAAGCGAGTTGTATCACTTCAGTTGATGTTATTTAACTCTGGTTATTGACCTGATTGGTCAATTAAGTTGCAATGTTATTGGTCATCTGTCAATTAAGCCGTGATGTCATTGGTGTGTTTCGATCCGTCTGTTGTCACAGTTAAACAGTCGTTTCGTCAAATTGTCGGTTGTCCAGTCATTATCTCATAGTTAGGTTTGCTTGAGTCTGTGCATAAGTCGTTAAACGGTCCCAGTAACTGTTGACTACAGTGGGTACAGGAATGTGGAGTGAAAATACCTCACATTGTTTACGAAGTTTGATTGGTCTGTTATCTTTTATTCTCGTTCCAAATATAGTATTTGTGAAAATTAATGTTCATAAGCATCTGACAAAACAAACATGTGAGAGTAACATGTTTCAACCACTTAGGAGTTTCTGGTCAAAACCAATCGGTTACAGACACTAAAGATTAAACTTTTACTTCAGGAGAGTGATCTTTAATTTCTACTCCTCTGACAAGGTTACACACTCGCATCAGCAAGCGCTAATGTGAACCGTGCAGTGATTCTCTTGAGAAAGGACTCATCTAAAGAGAGATTTGTCCCTCAAGATGAGACACATGTCTAGTAAGAGAGGTACTGTAAATAACAACCACCCTATAGCTATACATGTAGTTAAAGAACAGTCCCTTCATCTGATCAAGTACGTCAAATTATAAATTGATTTTTAAGTTTCAGATAAATACATGTATAGGAGCAAAACGTTACAAAGTGTTACTTTTTGCAGCTCTGATAATTCATCTTCGTTAAATTCTTCTTTATCCGCTAAAAGTTCTTCCTCCTCCATAGTTGTTTCATCGTCTAGATCGTGAACCATCATGTCGGCAGTGATTTCATATTCCTGGTCTGTCGAGTCCCCTAGAAATAATTTTGAAGAGCAACGAAGCAAAAAGGCAAGTAAAGATGAATGAAGACTACGTGCACGAAAGGACATGACAAGAGACGTCACTTTATAATTCAAGCCACAGAATAACTAACATCTGAGAAGTTTAAGCTTATATAAGTTTAAAGTTTTGACCGGCAAAGCATGCATTAAGCTTAAATATGGAAAAAAAGCATCTAGCTTGTGTAGTTAATATTATTGGAAGTCGAAAAGCTTGCCTAGCCACGGTACTAAAAGACTTACCTGTATCGTCTGTTTGAGCCTTTGGTGACTACAGAGATAACAAAACGAACACTTTTAATAAGAATTAGACACCAAACATCGTAAGTCTACTTCCGATTTGAAACACAGATATGAATTTCGTGTTCGAGATGTAAACATCACTTATAACTTAAAAAATCGGCACTGGAAGCGAACTGTCGAAAACTGAAGGAAAAAATAAACACTTTTGTCCCTTTCTAGACAATTTGACTGTAATTCACTGTCGTATAAAATCTGAAATTAATTTTTATACATCACGCAAACCTACCAATTCCGGTAACTCCGCCATGTTTAGTTTGAAAGTTTTTCCTTAGCGGGAAGTGGCATGCGTGGACACCCGCAATGCATCATGGGAAAACAAGCTAAAGCTTGGTTACAAAGTATTAAAGAAGACATGATTGCGCTGAACGACATCACCCGATGAGAAATGGTATTGTTTTGCAGCTTTTCTTTTAAGAAGTCGTCGATTTTTGATAAGCATTTAAAACTTTGGAGGTTTCAGAATTAACATTAATCACTCTATCGCACAGGGAGGTGTAAAAAAGTTTGATTATCCAAAGTACGTGTGGTCTCCCTCCGGTGGATGGTGGTGTAATCCGCGCAATTGGAAGAGGAACACAGCAATAGCATTTGGTGTTATTTTTGCACTGTGTGTACCGGTTCATATTATCAGCTGGTCTTTAGAGGTAAAGTGCATATAGTTTAAGAGAACCCTTGAATGTAGACAATTTCCTAGTGATGCATATTATTGGAACTCCAAGTTGCATTGAAGTATAGACCTCTAATATTGGCTTGTATGTTTTGTTTCCCCAATAGAGTTTTTCTGTATCGTGTGTTTTTCACAGGCCTTTGCTTTTCCGAAGCGTGTGTAATTAGTATATTTTTTAAGAGAACTCGTTAATGCAAAAAACGTGCAACGTGGATGTGTTAAACCTTTCCCTGACCCAATTAAGAGAATATGGTTCCACCGTTTCCGAGCTTTATCAGCAATGTACTGCTATTTATACCCGGAGGGGGGGGCGGGGGGGCACTCAAGGGAAGTCTAGTTAGAGGTGTGCCACCCAGGCCTTCAAACCCCAAGCCTGTTTAAGACAAAAATGGCTCATTATATTGTCACTACCCTGTTTAAGAAAGGAGACACTACTTTCTGATCTGACCCTAATTTGTTTTGTTTTGCTTACAGAATTAAGTAATTTTTTACACTAAAATCATGGAAAGAGATTTAGGAAAAAATTATTGGTATTACAAAATGTAGACCACTCATTGCAAGTCTTTACACTCTTTGAAAGGCTTCCAGTCTCCAGTCCAAAAAGGCACCCTGTTTAAGATGCTCAATAGTGAAATAGTATACCCTGTTTAAGACTCAAGACTGTGAAAACCATACCCAGTTCAGCAGCACATACCCATATAGGCCAAATAAGGAGTGCCCTCCCCCCCCCCCCCCCCCCCCCCCTTTTTGTTCCATTATATACAGTTTATACACATTATTCCCCTATCACCAGCGACCTTTTTTTTCCTCATTTTCTTTTACGAACTGCTCTGACTGTGTTTTTTTTTTGGTTTTTTTTTTATATTTTTCTTTTTTCTCATTTCTTCTCCCTACAAGTACCANTGTCAGATAAGTTGAAAAATATGCCTTTTTTTTGCAAAACCTATTTTTAGCCATTCTTATGCTAATTCATCAAAAACTAGTCCAAAGAAGAGGAATTGGTGAAAAATGCTGTTTTTTCGCTATTCGCTGGCCGTCACCAAAGGGTTAATAAAGTTACTGATCTTTTTTGATTGGGCTCCTAGAAATGCATCTCGGGCTCCTAACTTTATATTGAAGCCAACATTAGTTGTGGTTAAACACATCTCCTGCTGGAGGTTTCCCAAGGGGTAATTGGCTTGGGTCAGGATCGGCTTGGGTTGTGGTTGGTTTATATTTTCTGGCTACACTGCAAGTAATTACCCAAGGTCAACTATTGACTGGGCAGATTTGTAATTAAGCTTCATACTTCAGTGTTTTCCCAGCTTGAGCGTTTACTTCTCCAACTTCTGTCACTCTTCTCAGATGATTTGGCTTGAGAAATGCTGGTCGGACTACATGAATGCGAAGCCACTTGTGGGACATACTGTAAAGGAATAGCTTGATTGCTACTTGCATAGTAGGGATATTGAGCATATGGTAGATTCTGGAAATTTTCTTGGTCCCGATTTCTGTAAGGGAACTTGAGTCTCAAAGGGTTCAGTATTATTTTTCTATTGGGAAAAACAAAACATACAAGCTGATGAGGTTTATGAAAGACTTCTACTTATTTTTTAATTACAATGAATGTAGAGCAACAATCAGGGATGCTCAACTTGGGTCACACTGCTCTGTTGCCTGCCTTTCCCTCCTCCAATGTTGTTTTGTTGTTTTTTGGTGTAATTGCCTAATTTCAAGACCAATATAGTAAGGGAGAGGGAAAAGGAGGTCAAGAACAATTGTCAGCATTATTCCTTCAATTGACCCAAGTTCTAATATCATGAATTATCTCTGTTTGTGAAACTCATTGTTGGCTGTCATGTGATTTAGTCTTCAGTGATAAACCACGTGGATTAAAGTGGATAATTTTTGTGGGAAAAAATAACTTACTGGTGGACTGTCATATAAAAATGAAGTCAGTCTGACTATTTAAATTCTGCTAAATGGTTAACCACTGCTTAAACTTTGCCACATACGATAACTTTCAGCATTATGAAAAATTAAAAAACTAGACTATACTCTCAAACATACCAGTCTATCAAAATGCTTATTGTTCAACTTTTACATCAGCTTCTTCAGCAACAGAATGGCGAACCATGTGGTTAACCATCATAAAGAGATCACATGACAGTCTGTGCTGATTTCTTCTTTTTAAAATTTGTTTATTTACAAATCCATTTAGGGGTGACGAATGGTAAAATGCGAGACTCGCCGAGAGGGCGATATCCTAGTTAGAAATCCGAGTCCGAGACTCTTTGGTGAAAAGTTTCGAGACTCAAAAAAGTAAAAGCAAACCATGAAAAAACGAGGCTTCGAGACTTATCAAAAACGCTTCCGAGATTTTGAGATCCTGCCACAATTTTCAGAGACCCACGTTTTTCGAGGCACCATTTGCCACCCCTCCATTTCACTGATTCAAAAAAGGCCAAAATATTGTAGATTCTAAGTACATTTTCAGAAAAGCAAGTCCAAGATGGCAGTACATTTACCTTTTTTCCATCTCGCATTGCAAAAAAAAAATGATTAAAAAACTGTTTTTGGCCACCTCATTGTACTGGCATTATTTAATAGCTTTTGATATTTCAAATCACTGTATTTTAACTTTAATTCTAACTTTCTTGTTTTCTCACATCAGCGACGCTATGTACCACCCTACAGACATATTCCTTCTCAACGATTTTGCAAGCATGCTAAGGTAGGTCAGAGTACTTATTCCTTACATCACAGTTACACGTGTAGCTACTAGTGATAATTGAGTAGTTGAAAGTTTTGGTTTTGTTGTCAAGAGAAATATCCAGTACCTATTAGGTCATTGTAATTTTTTCTTTTCTTTTTGCCATAGGAGGATGATCCAAGTTTACCAGATGACTATCAGATAATAAAGTGGTGAAGAAGAAACTTCTTGAACTTTGCTTGTGCTTGATTATTGAGTGCAACATGGGTGAAAAAAGTTAGTATGTCAAGAAGAGCATGTAAAGATGCTGCCCCTCTTGTAATTCCTGTCAAATTATGTTTTGTGATAAAAATTTGCTTTTATATTATTCTTTGCACTGTTTCTCAAGAATTTGGTATTAATTGGAAGCTTTCCATGTAACGACATATCACATGAAGACAATAAAAAATGACCAATCGTGATGTTTTCGTTTCTGATAGCATAATCCTTGCTAATATTTTTTTGTCGAACAAGGGGATTCGATTTGTGTGGACTGACTATTGAACCTTCGAACTACTGTGCTGGCAGATGTCCCTTGATCGAAAGGTCGCAAACTGGAAAGACCGCCGACCAAATTCAACATCTATGGAATGATTGGCACATCCCGCAAAGTAAACAGTCCCGCAATTTTCGGTATTCCTTCCAAAATATAATTTTGCTTTTCTTCTGAAAGCATTTACGCATTTAATATCTGGGGGATTACATGCTATAGGAAGCTAGTTATGAGAGGATTTAGCCAAGAAGATTTCAAGTCCAAATTAGCACATGTTGCGCGCAAAAGAAAAAAAATATATGATTATCTCCGATCGCAGTTCTTCTTACAAAAAGAATCCCCGTAAATGTGCGAATGCTCACATATTACAACGGTTCAATGCATATCTAAAAATGTATTTTTCTAAGAAGAATTCGACAAGAGCAACTCTCGAATTTCAACTTTATTATAACCTTCATGATTATGCTTGCTAAGTTACATGTACGAGACTAAGAAACATGTACAACTTTGTAGGGTGACAGGGAAAAAGTATCTGCAACACTTTCGCCTGTACTACTGTAAAAACACAACGTTTATGTCCTTTGCCGATGTATCTCGGCTCCAAGTGAAAGTTACAACATAATGACATACAAAATATTTCAACATACAGCTGTTACACGCGGGTGTTGTAAGCCTAAAAGAATTACAATTGATATGGGTGGAATCTTACTGACACATTTGAAGTTGAATTTGCCCCGTTGTTTAGACAGAAACCATTATAAAATGAATTTTCGGGAGGATTAGCAGGCAAAGAGATGGGAAGCAACGCAGCACTTTCCGTGAAAGAACTTACTTGGCCTTTACAGTTGTCAATCAGGTAAGGTAAGCGCCAATCCTCTGATTCCGATGGTACTTTGTTTTCAAGCGCTTTATGAAGGTAAAGCAGATCTTTGTCAAGCTCTTGACGATTCAGATATTTTACTGGATTCAGGCGTTTCAAGCGTGGACGCATTACGGCGAAAAAATTCCCGCGCGATCGCTGAAGCTGTAACATGAATTGCTCCAGAGACTGCTTAGCCGTTTCCTTATTTTTCCTTAGCACAGTTAGCATTTTTTGAGTTTCACTGATTGATTTTCCCAGTTCTGGATGTTTGTCTTTCAATTTACATTTAGTGTGAGAATCACATGCAATTCCGCGGCAATTGTTCCTGTTATGGCCAGACTGATGACAGTGACTACAAATTCTTCCACGGGAAACGGTTTGGAGCAAATCATTTTCGCCTTTAAGCTTTGCCAAGTGGTCTTCTGCACTTGAAATCTGTGTCTCCAAAAAACTGACATTTTCAACAAGCTCTTGCTTACGGTGGTCTAGAGGAGAATCGATCTTGCGTGTAGTAGTACTGCTTGAGTT